CACAGGCACAGAGAGTATGAGATAATTTGCTGACAGTCACACGGCTTGTAAGGAGCTGGGCTGGAATTCAATGCCAGGTTTGACTCCAAGGCCATCTTCTTTCCACCTCTGCTTCTCCTCTCTAACAGAGTAGTCTCTACTCTCTTTGAAGTCTTCTACTTCAAAGGGGTCTTGGGTCTTATGCAAGGTGCCCTTGGATAAAAAGATTCCTCAAGAGATGTGTATATCTCAAGTCATGTGCTGGAACTCCACAGTATGTTCCAAAAGAGACAATGTTATATAAACTATTACACAGGCACACTCTATTTACCTTCATTCACTAGTAATACTGTCTACTATGAGACACTGCCTAATCATTTCCCATAGTGGTTTGGAAACTCTCAATCATTAAAATAAATGTTCTTTGATTTCAATACAGAGAAGCATGGTGAGGTATGATCAGAGGACTTACCACCTTGACAGCTAAACAGGTTACAAGAGAATACACCTATGTGAACATTGTTTAAGGACACTGCTGAGAACTGGCTCAAAGGGTAATTACAGGCTTCCACTATTCAGTACTTCGCTTGCAACAAACATTCTTCTGTTATCAATCCATAATTTCAGATCCTTCAAAATAGGTTTTGCCTGGTATACAGTTGGAGATATTCTTAAATAGCACATTTCCAAATCAAGACATAAGAATGAATTATACAATTTACAATGAATTTACTTTGCATAAGAGCATTAAACACTGAAATACAGAAGAGTGGGGACTTTTTTCGCTGTTGTTTATGTTAATTACAGTTACAGCAAATGCTCTACACAGGTTAAATGTCTAAGCAAACAGGAGAGAGGAGAAAAGGCCAACAAATCAGTCAGATTTCAGCAGCACTCCCAAGTCAAGGACAAAAGTAAGATCAATATCGCCAGGCAATTCATAGCCCAGTTAGGACCACACTTCTCTGTACTTACTCCTACTGGATGCTCAGCTGAAGATGTAATGCTGGGAACTGAGGGGACTTCAGGCTCTTGGAGAACAGTTTACTTTTTCAGAAAAATAAATGAGACAGTACAGACAGAACACACAAATAGGAGGTGAAGCAAAGAGAGAGTTGTAGGAAAAGCTAAATGTTCTTGAAATAGCTATTCAAAATGGGTACATTTACCTTGTCTTCATCCATCATCCTGGTAGGGGAAGAGCCTCTTGAGCTGTTGTTCATCATGGCAGCTGTACCAGATCCTGGATCTGTTAAAGACCAGATAGCTGACATAGGCTTATTCTGACTTGTGTACTCTACGAGGAAGATTGAAAAAAAAAAAAATCCTCTCCCTACTTGCTGCAAGGTTTTAGACTCTTTAGATGCTCTGGCTCCCTTACCAGAAGGAGAGGGTTTCCCAGTGCCTTAGCTGCCCATTGAGGATGAGACAGAGGCCCGTCCACAGATC